TATCTAAACTGCAATTTACAGATTATTTTCACAATTTTACCAATTATTCACGTGACAAAGTCACAGATCTTTTACAATTTTGGATTTATTTTTATATGTTGGATTCTTTATAAAGCAAGATCAGCATAAAAATTTTCGGCAGTGGCGCAGCAAGTGATGTCTTTAGATGATTCGCACCATATAATGATGATCATTACTGTTTTGAAAATTTAAACATGATAATAAAATAAATAAAACAATTATGATATTTTTGAAAACAAATAGAAACAATAGCTTATTATTATAATAAAACAATTATGATATTTTTGAAAACAAATAGAAACAATAGCTTATTATAATAAAAAATAATTAAATGTAAAATAAAACCTATGATTTGTAAAATTAAAATTTATGGCTTGCATAATGATTCGTGAAAATAAAAAATATCCACCCTTGTCTATAATCAAAAAAAAAAAATTTTTGTCAATTTAAAAAAAAAACCCAAGCACAGAAGCTATAAAAAGGTTTGGAAACTGCACTCAAATATGTACAACAAAAAAATTTGGAAATTGATTCGTCAATAAATTAAAGAAGAAAACTTCTTGCAAAAGAATACAAACAAGGATCGAAGAATACTATATGCTAGAATAAAATAAATTCATATTTATATATTGTAAAAGTTGTTTGTTAATTATTACACTATTTTTTAAATTTAACTGATGTCACATGATTTTTATTATAAAACCCGCTAATTCCAAATTTCTCATTTTTACGGATATTTCGATTTAGCGGATAAATTTCTTGGGCCAAACTTGTCCTCTAAATTGAGATTCGCTGTGTAATAATAATAATATGGTAATATGGTAATAAATGTTTATTTTTGTAATATTATAAAAATGATAATAAATTTTGAAATGAAATTAATAATGATAATTTTAAAATCCTTGATCTTGATATTTTTTTAATAAATCATCTAATTTTTCACCCTTTTCATCTTCATACCTACGTAACTTTATTGTAAAAGGTTTGCAATTACTCTCTAAAGTTCCCAATGAATTATCAGAAAAAAAGTTAAATTATTCAAATTTTTAATAATCTACATCAATTAATTTTTTTATATGTCGCTTCATTGATTTCCATTTTAATGATATGGCATTATTTTTTCTTGAGATTCCATTCTTTTGTAATTCGATGCAATTTATTTTCTTTTGAAATATGTGGTTTAAGAGAATAGTCAATTCTTCCATTGTTCCAAGAAGTAATAAAATTTTTTTCAATATTAAGACTTTCTAATTCACTAATATCATCATTGCCATCAATATTATTGTCATCTCCATAATTGTTACCAACATTATCAACTTCTACCACACCAATTTCTTCCACCTCTTCCACCTAGAGATGTGCCGTGTGCATTATGCGCATAATAGATTAGATAAATCTATGTTATGCGCCAAAAATTTTAAAAATAAATTTTCATAGAATTTGGCACAAAATTTTACAGATCACCAATTAAAATTTTCTGGACTCCAACTTTCACCCCCAACGTAACCACCCTTTATGTAAACTAAAATTGTACTTTTAACACATGATATGAATCTCGAAGTTTAAATATACAAATTTTCAAAGGGACTTTCTTA